AGAATGGTGCAATTCACATCCACTTCTTTGAGATTAAGGGTTGAGATGCTACTTTACCGGACGTGATGTCTAGGATTATTAAATGAAGCGAGTTATTTAAGGTTGATTCGTATCCAACTTATTTAAAATCGATTCATTATATAATTAAGATAATTTTAAACGCAATTTTATATTCATTGAATTATCAAATTAAGTTTGAGTAATTTAGTACTTGACTCAACACAGCTCATTTGTAACCCTAATGATATTTGGATTCAAGTTTTATTGAAGGATGATGCTGCTTCCCTTTCGTTACTCACTTTTACTAATTGTACAATAAAATTTAAAACAAAATCAATTAGTAAGAGATTAATTAGATAATGAGAATAATTATATCAAACTGGACAATTATAGATCAACAATTACTACAAGAAATAGTACATAATGAGTAATTCAATCATTATAATGTGAGAGAAATAATGAATATGTAATTGCTTGATCTCTTAATATTTTTATTAAATTTAATCTTAAGTAGTCTCATTAAAAATAGAACAATACCATATGCATAGAAGCTCTCACACGAGCGTGAGGTGAGTCACACACATGTAGGATCCACGTGAGATCCACTCTCATGTGAAAGTTTATGTGCACAAATTTTCTACGTAAATTGTGATGGTTAGTTTTCGTTGCAAAAACTTTTTCCCCCACCCACATTTTCATTGCTAAGTCGTCACAAAAGTCTTTTGTAACGGTTGTTGCACTTTTGGCGACAATTTGTGACCGTCACAAATACTTCATTTTTAATACTGAAATATCCATCTGACATACCTTTTCAAGAAAGGGTTTTAGGCTTGTGAGACCCATCACAGGTTTAGTTTTGATAATCTGAATTATTTAATTTATCAAGCTCTGTGTGTATATCATTTGTAAAAAAAATTAAGTCGATCCAATATTCGTAACACTTTTATTTTATCAAATTTGCCTTCAAAAAAAATTAACAGTCAATGTATTTTTAAAAATAAATCAACTATTTTTTTCGTACAAATATGATAAGATGAATAGGTTACATTACAAATATCAAATCAATCTAAATTTATTTTTTATAAGTAATATACATATAAGACCTAACAAAATCAATAATTTAAATGATAAGGTTAACCGACTCAAACAATACTCTCATCTCCGTGATAGAAAAGATAACCCCACCCTTTCAATAATAAGGAAAATGAGTGAGGGCACTAATTAGTGCTATCACTAATGATGTGGTAGTGGGCTCCACTAGGAATGATTTGATGTTTTGGCTTTGGTGTTGTATTTTTTTCCTTTTTTTATTGAGTGTCATATTATTAGTGGTCTTTTTAGAGCTCCAAAATTAGTGGTCTCTATCATTGTTGCAATAATAAAGCTTAAAAAGAGACAGAAAAGACAGGCACTATAATTGAGTAAGCAATGGTGACATCATTCATCCAATATTTTATACATAATTGCACGGCACTATTTTAGAATTTTGTTTACACAAATAAATTTTTCATTTTTTATTTTACAAATCATCATATATATTATTAAAAATATTTTTTTTCAGTCTTAATAACACAATATAAGAGCTTATTTTTTTCTAAAAAAACCATATTAATATGTATTTTCTTAATTAAAAATAGAACTCCACACAAATCCAAACTTAATTTAAATTATACTAATTTTACTTATTTTATATAAACTCTATTTGACAAATATTTTTTTTCTATATTTTTTTTATTGTAAATTGAAATAATCCACAAACTCAATACTAATTTTACGTTTCACGTTTTTCTTCTTAATTCTTTCAAAGGTATTAAGATTTTTTTTTAATGTTAAATTGCCTCTTTCTTTTTTCTTTCTTTTTTTTTCTTCTTATTTTAAGTTGCATTATTTTATACTAATTCTATATTATGGATTTGTCATTTAAATTTTTTAGTGATTCTATATATAAAATTATATTTCATTTCCTACATTATTTTATATAATCATAACTTGTAAGAGAAAAAATCTGCACAACAATGATATTTTTGAGGAACCTCTAAAGTTTGGATTTACTATTTAAGTTACTTTTTCAATTGTTGAACAGTAAGTTCTTTTATATTTTAACGTCATATTATAGATAATTAATCACTTTATACATTGAGATGTATTTATTGTTTGAATATTTTTATTATTTTTTCTTTTTGGGTTTAGATCTTATGTGATTCTTTTTTATTAGTCGTTGTTGAATTTCTTTTATATAATTGATATTTTAATTTAATTAAGAGTGTTCAGTTTACAATCATATAATTTAATATATATATATCATATAAAATCATTATATAATAATCCAACTATAACATGTTTATATTTAATTTTTTTAATAGACTTTATATAATTTCTATTTCTGCTTATTTTTCTTTTCCAAATGAATATTAAAAAAAATTAAATGGTTAGAATTACTTTTAATTTTATGTTACTAATTCTTTTTCTAATTTAATCATAATTTTTAATATCAAAATGAATATTTATTTTACTATTTTATAATTTAATTTATATCATATAAAATTATTATATGATAATTATATTTTTATAATACGATAGAACTAAAATTATCAAAATATACAAATAATTTAATGATAGCATCAATATTATCAAAATAAATAATTAAAATTATTGTTTTATAACACATATTGTACCATCAAATATTTTTTTTAAAAATAATACGTGTATTGCACGGATCAACTGCTATTTTAACTTATAAATTAATATTGCAGTTCAATTATTCTTATCATTTAATTTCAATAGACCCATTTCAAATACTATTAGTCCACGTCAATTTGTAATTTTTTAAAATATATATTATTATTTTTTTTACATAACACTTTCTTTGCTTTTTATCTTCAAAAATGTTAGAAATTTCAAAAATTCTACCAAAATTTTTATCAAATATCTCACATGAATGTGAAACCCACATGTCTAACACCATGTGAGACATTTGATAAAAATTTTAATAGAACATTTGGAATCTCTCACATTAGTCTTTTATCTTTCATTTTCTGAAAGCAAGGTTTTCCAAACACTCATTGTCACATTGATTAATTATTGTTGATATATATGCAATGAATGATCGATTCATTGCTTTGTTAAGGTAAGAAGATAGGATTAAGAAAATATGGCTGTAAATAAATAGAGCTATTCGGGAATAGGTTTGAATTTGTCTCGGTAAGAGCTCGTTCGACTTAGTTCGTTAATTTTTTTTTTGCGTTCAAGCTTGAACTCGTTAAATTTTTAATAAACAAGTCCAAATGTTTTAAAGCTCGGCTCGTTTAATAGTTATTATTTATATATTAAATAATATAAAAATAATAATAAAAAATAAGATAAATATGTTATTTATATATTTAAACTATATAAATATAAATAATAGTTAACTATAGATAATACATTTATATAACAGTGATAGTAGATATTATTATTTTGGTACAATATTGATTTTTTTTATATGTTTATATATATTGTATATATAATTGTAAAATCAAAATTTTAATTGTAATTTTAGTCTCATATGCAAGTACGAATTTATAAAAATTTTGACTTATTAAAGCTCATAAACAAGTTCGAGTTCGAGTTCGAGTTCGAGTTCGAGTTAAGTCTAACCCAACTCGATTCGAACTCAATTCATTAAATTTTTATTGAATTCGAACTCAAATTTAAATTTATTAAAATCTTTATAAATAAAGCCAAACATATTAAAGTTCGCTTAGCTTGACTTGTTTGTAATATTAAGAACGAGTCACTCACTTCATGGAAACAAGATATGTAGGCCCAAGCAACAGTTTTAGCCGAATCCCAACTCCACCCCACCCCCAACAGAGGCGCCAACCCAGCCCATCTTGAGACCCGACTGCAGGCCGAAATTTTTTTTGATGCCCTATGTGGAACATCCAACTGAGGCTTTAGGTTCTAAATCTTTGAAAATTTGGGATCCTAAGTTGTGCCACCTCTCTCCCAACTCAACTCTTCTTCAATTGGGCCCATCATGAGTTTTAATTATGTATTTTGTTCATTTTTATAAGTAATATATGAAAAAATTAGTTTAATTTGATAATTATAGTTATATAACTTTATTGTCTTTGTCTTTATACAAATAGATAGTACGTATAATTTTAAAAATAAATCGTTCATTTTTATGAAGTTAAAGATAATAAAGTTATATGGCTATGATTATCAGATTAATTTGATTTTTTTTTTTTTTTTTTGAATAATTTACACATTGAAACTTAAAAATATAATAGATATCAAAGTATGACTCATAATGAATCCTACCAGAGCTGAATTGAAGGTTCAAGTCTGATGGACTAAAGAGAAACTTTGTTCCCTCTATCAAGATCAAAAAAAAAAAAAAAAATTAATTAATTAAAAAAAATAAAAATAAATAAACCAGAAAACTAGCCATCTTGAAAAGTTAATCAATGCTCTCGTAGCAAAGTCACCTGGTGTTTCAACAGCACCTTACGTCAATGTAGGTTGGGTATATTAGTGTGGCCTAATATTTGATGGTAGAGTGCAGTTAGACAAATATTATTGGGATACCTCTTTAGTTTATTCAAATTATTTGATTTAGTTTGGGATTGGTTATAATATATTTTTAATATATTATAGATATCTTTTGAAAGCCCAATAATAATAGCTAAGATTTTGATAAAAATCCAAGATTCAACAATATATATAGATTGTTTTAGTCTTCCGAAAAGTAGCGGCAGCAGTGGCTTAATATTAATATTGTGCCGTTTTGGGAACCTTGAAAAAACGCAGCGTTCTCAGCCAAGGGCACAAACGCTGGAGTGTTGAAAAAAACTGAATCCACCATTTGGGAAGATCTAGAAACACAACTCGGCCATTTACCAAACTACCATCATCTTATAAATTGGGGCCTAGGGCAAAATGAGGCCACATTTGCCTCCTTCAGAGTCTGGTTCCTTTAGCGAAATCCTCCTTCAAGCGGCGCTGTGTAACTCCGTCGAACGACCTTGTCGGCCCCCGCCGAAGCTGCCGCCGGATTCGTCGTCCACGTCCTCGCCTTCGCAGGATCTGCACCATCAGGTACGCCGAAAACTGTCTTCCATTTACTATCTTCTCGCAAGTAGTGACAGACCCAAAACCATGGCAACAGTTGTTCTTGATCTTGTCGACGACCTACACTTGTGATTTTGGATGACATTCATAATGGTTGGTCTATATTGGTTTGCACTTCTGATTTCGGATGTGAAAAAAAGGGTTTTTGTATATCCGATCTGAAACACCAAGGTGTTCTGTACTTAGAACACCTGCAGATTAGATCAATGACAAATTGATCTAAGAATTCTAATTATTTCCATGGTTGGTCCATATTGGTTTGAACTTGTGATTTCGGATGTCCAAAAATAAATGTTTTTCCGATTTGAAACACCAAGGTGTTCTGTGTACTTAGAACAGCTACAGATTAGATCCATTTTTTCCAAGAATTCTAATGAATCCCATTAAGTGAAGTGTAGTGTAGTGTATATATATATATATACATACTATATACGGCACTACAATAAAACTAACTATTTACGGCATCATGTTTATGACATGCATTAAATACATGTTGTAGTTAGTACATTCTACGGCATTTTTTTTTTTTACAAGCCGTTAATGTTTTATCAATAACAACATACATACCATGTGCAAAAGTATGCCGTAAAAAATGTATATTTTTACGACTTACAAAAATATGTCGTAAAATATTTGCATTTAAGACGACATACATTTCATGTTGTAAAATATTATAACTTTACACGGCATCTATTAGCAGGTCGTGAAAACTTTTAAAAAAAAAATCAATTAGAATTTTTTTTATGGCATGCAAAAGCATGCCGTAAAAAATGTATATTTTCACGGCATGCAAAAATATTTCATAAAATATTTGTACTTAAGATGACATACATTTTATGTCATAAAATATTATAACTTTACACGGCATCTATTAGCAGGTCGTGAAAACTTTTATTAAAAAAATTTCCATCCAATTTTTTGTTTTTTGTTTTTTTTTTGATTTCAAAAAGCTAACAATTTCCAACCGAACTTCTCACTTTAAATTTTCCTAATTGAGGACAACATAAAAAATAATTTATACATTATTTTATAATTTAATGTCTCTTTTAAGGGATAATTGCACCCAGTGGGATTTTGGAAAAAAAAAATTACACATTCATGAAAACGTTTATAATTTTAATGATTAATATTTATATGGCTTCTCACTAATTTGTAATTATTATTTTTTTAAATTACCTTGATTTGATATTTTTTCTTCTTTTAATAATTTATTTATTTTTTATTTTTTAGATGTGCCTAATATGAATACAACTAAAAAATAAAATATTTGTAAAAAAAATAATAAAATATAATATATATGAAATGTATTAAATTTTATATTTTTTTGAATTTAGTGATTTTTTTTAAAAAATTAAAAAGTAAAACATTATTAAAATTAAAATAAAATATTTCTTTTAAGTATATATAAATTATTTGAATTTGAAAAGTAAAAAAAAAATTATTTAAAATATTACAATAACTAACACAAAACACTGAAAAACAATTTAGGCCTTGATTTGATCGATCTCTCTCTCTCTCTTTCTCACTCACTCTCTGGTCTCTCTCTCTCTCTCTCTCTCTCTCTCTCAACCCTCTCTAAACCCTAATTTCTCTCAACCGATCGAATCAGTCTTCTTTAGCCTTGATTTGATCTCAAAGTGATTGGTGATTCATCTCAGATCCAATCTCAGAGCGATTGGTAATTTCGATTTTGAGATTCCGAAGCTCCACCGCCTCCACCATCTGCATCGGTGAGGGAAGCAAGGACCATCGTCTACTAAGGTGAGCACCATCGTCTCTCTCTCTCTCTCAATTTCGTATTCTCTTTCTCTCTCCCTCAAGCTCTTCCCGTCGAGTTTGAGCAATTGATTTTAGAATTCAGTTCGGTTTGATTGGTTCCTTCTATGTATGAACTGCTATCAAATTGCTTCAGAATAGTGCTTTGGTGGCCATTTGTGATATTTTCTTAGTAAAAAATTGGGAAATTTGGTACTTACATTTATCCTGATATAGAATTAACCTCTTTCGAATTTGTTACATAAATTTTCCTTGTATCTCTGTGAGGTTGCAGTTTGATGTAGGGTGTCTTCAACAACTGCTTTAAGAGGAATGGTTTTTTTATATGAATGAGAATGATTCAAGTATCATATATGCTTGTGGATTTTACTTCAATTTGTGAAATAACAGTTTTATGGTAGCATTTATGTTACACTTAGAAAAAATACAGAAGCTGTGAAATGGTTCGTTGTTTTGTATATTTGTTTGTGTTGGAAGAAATCAAATCGCTTGATGTCAAAAATGAACATCTATCACGTTAGTTGTTAGAGTTGTACTGGTAGATCAATATGAAATCATATACTATCCCATCTGTATTGGTCAGCCAGTATGTTCTCAAAATGATAAGAGAGATCTACTGGTAGTTTGTCATTTTGAATAAAATAAAGGGGAAATACCAAAAAAAAATACTTAGGTTTGACTCTTAAACCAATAATAACTCTTCTCTTTGGCTCTAATCTTCATTTTGATCAATCTGTCTGGCTTATAATAGAAACAAAGATATGTCTAACAAGTCTTATAATAGAAACACAAATACAAAGGAAGCCATGTGCCATAACTCTTAAAAAGTTGACTTTACTTTTTGGCGACCTCATTATTAATTGAAAGAATTTGCAAGATTATATGATCAAATCTATGATAATAGAATCTTCAAGATACCACTATTACATTGCAGGATGCATAGAGTAATATGAGTTTCTGGTTTTTTTATGATGTCTAGTTGTAAATTTTGGAAATGAAATCAAGTCAGTGTAAGTGAAATCATGAAGTGCAAAGAGCATCACTTTGTTTAAGTGTACCATAAGCAATTCTTCCTTGTGAATAATTAGATTCAGCTTTTCTAGGCAGAAGTCAGGAAGCTGGTTGAGGATGATCACTTGCTAGAAGTAGTTCTTGTTTTTCTGGGTATTGCAAAGCATTTTATTGCAGAACTTGAGGTGATAGTGAGAGTATGAAGAAGTAAACACAACCAAAAGAACAATTGATGGTTGTGAAGATGTCTCTGGTTTGTTTTTTTAACAAGAAACAAAAGATATTATATAAAATAACAACTTAGTACCATAGTTCTAAATATCGGCCGGTACGGTACGTACCGGCCGATTCGTACCGGAAAATCAGAGGACCGAGTCGGATATGGGCCGATATATCGGTGAGACTGAAATTCACGTCCGTAGCGTCCGATTCGCGGTTCGTATCGGCCTGACTCCGATACACGAAGCGATACATGCCGATACATGCTGGTACAGTGAAGATTAAAGCAGAGAATCAGATGAAGAAGATTGAAGCAGAGAACCAGATGAAGACAAAGAAAGAAAAGCAAAAGAACTTAGATTCGAGATAAAGAAGGAGAGATTTGAAGGTAATGAAAAGAGGAAGATTAAGACGAAGACAGAACCATTTCTGGCATTGAAGGATCTTCAAGCTTGTTGGAGTTCTTTGAAGCTCTGATACGACTCTGAAGTTCTAATCTCGAATTTCACAAATTAATTACTAAAAACACAATTTCAATAAACTAAAAATACAATTTTTTACACAAATTCTCACCTTGCTTTCATTTCCTCACAAAATCGAAGATAGAAATTCAAATCAATATATATATACGTAGTTTATATATATATATATATATATAGAGAGAGAGAGAGATGCCATAACTCTTAAAAAGTTGACTTTACTTTTTGGCGACCTCATTATTAATTGAAAGAATTTGCAAGATTATATGATCAAATCTATGATAATAGAATCTTCAAGATACCACTATTACATTGCAGGATGCATAGAGTAATATGAGTTTCTGGTTTTTTTAAGATGTCTAGTTGTAAATTTTGGAAATGAAATCAAGTCAGTGTAAGTGAAATCATGAAGTGCAAAGAGCATCACTTTGTTTAAGTGTACCATAAGCAATTCTTCCCTATGAATAATTAGATTCAGCTTTTCTAGGCAGAAGTCAGGAAGCTGGTTGAGGATGATCACTTGCTAGAAGTAGTTCTTGTTTCTCTAGGTACTACAAAGCATTTTATTGCAAAACTTGAGGTGATAGTGAGAGTATGAAGAAGTAAACACAACCAAAAGAACAATTGATGGTTGTGAAGATGTCTCTGGTTTGTTTTTTTAACAAGAAACAAAAGATATTATATAAAATAACAACTTAGTACATAGTTGAAGTTTAGATATAAATCTTAATCGAGAAGCTTTGGACACATCCAATAACAAAAAGGGGCAAAAACATAGGTGCCGTATTTATTTTTATATCTAAGGATGTGTATTGAACTGCATATTTAGCTAGTGCATCGGCTGTGAAATTTGCTTCTCGATATACAAAATGAAGCTGCAATGCCTCAAACCCTTGTGCTAGAGCTAGGCTATCCAGAAGTAGAAGCTCCAGCTTGTGATGATGAACCTGCTTCCTGCGAAAAGCATCAAAACAAAAACCATAAGGGGATCAGTTTCAATAATGAGTCTAAAATTCCATGTGCTAAGTCATAGGATAATTTTTCACGGACAACCCACATTTCAGCCATGGCATTAGTGATGTAGCTAATTATTTTAGCAAATGCTAGTTTAAAATTGCTGGCCTTATCACAGAATATTCCACCAAAGCCCGCTAACCCAGGATTGCCCGTTGCGGCGCCATCAACATTTAATTTTACATACCTTTCAGGCGGTGCAACGCAAGTGATAAAAATTGAAATTTGATCCCTCATAGGCTAATCCTCTACTCAAGTGTTTGCACCCCTTGATGCTCTCCTATTCTCTTTTCACATCTTCTACTCAAGTGTTTGCACCCCTTGATGCTCAGACAATGTAGTTCAGTGAGAAGTTGCATATCTTTTGGTAGAGATAGCAAATTAGGGCAATTATAAATTTCAAGTCCTTGAAGTGATGTGAGACATGGGAGGACGAACTCTGATACTGTTGTCAAGTTCTCACAACTTCGAAGTTTGAACTGATTGAGTGTGTTAGCAGCATCTTGAAGTCCCTTGGGCAAACTCACCAACCACGGCAAATCAACCAATGTTAGTGATTTAAGTCTTCTCAGCCCCCGCAAATCATTATCCTCTGAGAATTTGAAAGCAAAAGAATAGCTAATCTTCAGATGCTCAAGGGCAGTGAGGTATCTCATGCCAAATGGCAATGAAGTTAGCATTGGACATAGTTTAATTTCCAACTTTCGGAGGCAAGTGAGTTTTCCTATCCCTTCACGTAAAGCAGTTAGTTCAAAACTATCATATAGCTGTAATTCCTGGAGAGAAGTCAACCCACCAATCTGTTTCTCAGGCAAACATGTCAGCATTGATGATAAACCCAAAAAACGTAGGTTAATTAGTTTCCCAAAATCTTCAGGCAATTCACATAGTGCTGAACCATAAAGATTTAAATATTGCAAGTTTAGCAAGCTATTGCCAAAGCCTTTAGGGAGTGTTTGCATACCATAATAGTACTTCATGGTAAGGTACCTTAAGTGCTTCAAATTTACTGTGTTCTTGGATAAGAAATTAAAACGTTGGCCATGGTTGTCTTCAATGTCAGGCCAATTAATTACAAGAGTAGCCAATTAATAGTTAATAGTTTGACGTCTAATAATTACAAGAGTAGCCAATTAATTATACAATAGAGTGTTAGTCCAAGTGGTCATAATCGGCATTTGAGTTTTAGTATAGAGATGGAGTGACATTAGTTAATTGTAATAATTTAACTCTATTAACTTACTAAATGTTCTATCGTGTGACCCAAAAAAAGAAAAAAGGAAAAAAAAAAAACAATTTCGACCGAGTGTTGAACAAAAAAATTCTAAATAAGAAAAAAAAATATAAACTACTTTTTTATCTCCCAATTTTAGCCTAGACATTGTCAATGGGGACAATAATTATTTGAAACTTTACCTATGAAAGGTAAGATTAAAATGAAAGTGTAATACAACATACTACATTTGCATAAGAGATTCAGAAGCCATGTGGTTTGCACTGTAGATGATCCCAAGATGATGTATTTCATTAACCAAGAAAGCAGTAGAACCCAGCTAGCTTTGCCTTACTTGAAGAAATTGATATGATCTAGGATTACTCACATCAAATTGTAAAAGCATAACATAATGTAAACCTTGTAAGAGCTAGATATGCATAATGATGAAGAAACCACACTCTTAAATAGGGAAAGCCATGTCCCAAATGTCCCCAACTTTTTGCACATTGTTTGCCAGTAATTCTACGTTTAAAAGAAATGAACTAATTTAAATTCTCACAAAGAAAGTAAATTAATCAATTTTTTAGTTGTCATCTTTACAGTGCAACACATGTACTTATCTAATTTGTTAATGAGCCAATCCTAAAGTGATCCAATTCATATTTTTTCAGACATTCAAATGTGTCTTAATTATGCCTCGGATGGTAATGTTTATGTAGTGGTTGAATAGCCTTTGTATGCCCTAAGATCCTTTTTTTGAGCCTTGTCATATTTTTAGGGCTATAATGTGATTCAGCAGTAATAGTTTAGCTCTAAGCCAACACTTGATGATAGTAACAGTTTCAGACATTCAAATGTATCTTTTTTTAAGCCTTGCCATATTCATCAGGTTCAGTAGACTCATAAGTGTGACCACCTCAAAATATATATTTATCAAGTTGAAATTTTCTTTTTTGACATTGATGACATATGTAAGTGAGTTCTCGTTGAAGCTTTTTGACACTTTCATTTCCTTTGTTGAACTAATACTTCGTAAATGGGATGAATGTTATGCAGTATGCTTATATACTCTTAATTTTTGTAGGATCAAAGTAATGGTGTGTCGAGCTTAGCAAATGTCAAATGCAAGTTGTTGCATTGGGAGGGGTCAAACTTGGTGGTTGCAGAAGGCCAAATTGCATCAAAGGATCCCAAGTCAAAGGTGCATCATGCAACTCTTGGACCTTTGTGTTGGAAAGTATGGGTGAACCACGTAACAGTCAACGTGCCGTTGTTTCGTTCTACTCGTGAGATGTATGATCTTCAAGATGCAATAGGAAGTACAGTTGCATGGCCTAGTCAATTCATTCTTTTGGACTAAATATTGGACTAATTGATTTACGATTTGTAGTTATACTTTTTGGATGTTTAAAGTCGTATTTTAGAGATTAGTGAATCTTATGATTTGGATACTTTTTTTTTATTTGTATGTTTGAGGTTGTTATCAGATTGATATGATAGAAGTTGAGGATAAAAGTTAGTATGCAGGTTGTTTGGTGTATGGATGTTAGATTTTTTTGCTTACTTCATAGTTGCTGCTTCTGCTTGGTTTGTAACATGTTGCATTTTATAAGCTATTGTCTACATACGGTTAGACAAGGTTATGTTCCTATATATATATTATATTAAAAATAACTTTCTACGGCATGCAAAAGTATGCCGTGAAAAGTGTAATGATTTATGGCATGTAAGAAAATGTCGTAGAAGATTATATATGGCATACAAGGCATGTCATAAATATATTAAAAATGACCTTCTACGGCATATAAAATTATGTCGTGAAAAGTGATAATTTATGACATGTAAGAAAATGTCGTAAAATACTATATACGGCATACAAAGTATGCTATAAATATATTAAAAATAATCTTCTACGGCATGCAAAATTATGTCATGGAAAGTATGATGATTTATGGCATGATAAAAATGTCGTAAAAAGTTATATACGACATACAAAGTATGCCATTAATGTTTAATTTATTACTTTTTACAACTTTATCTGCATGCCGTAAATGATGTTACACTTTTCACGGCATGTCATATAACGGCATTTGTGTGCATGCCGTGAAAGAGTTTTTACAGCATGCATCGCAAGCCGTAAATATTTAATTTTGTTGTAGTGCGGTGAAGTGGAGCTATTGTATGAAACTTGCACTATTTCATGGATTGGACACCATACTCTGTTGCTTGAAATCAGTTTTATGATGCTGTTGGGAAGAGCTTTTGATCATGAAATTGTTTGTATAGGTTAAAAATTGGGCTGAGTGATGTAATTAATTAATTAATTTCAGCGATTGGTAGCATTTACATGGTTGATACAACAATTAAATATGGGGTCACTTGTGTTCTTTTAACACATTCTGCCCTGATGCCTTACATGTTTAGTGGAATCTGATATGTATATATATATTTCTGTGTGGGTGATTTTCTGACCACACTGCCCGCTTAGTAACCAACTGGAGAGCACCGGCAGAATAGATGGCACCTGGCTGACCTGCAACAGAAATATAAGAATCCCGCGGTGGTTTCGACCACCCGGGGGCACTCCGACGATCAAGTCAGTATATCTCTCAAAGATAAATCAAGTACTAAACTCACAAGCTTGAGTATCAAAAGCATACGTTAGACCCATGGGGGTGCCTCTCTTTTATAGCCAACATAAACCTAGTCCCAATAGAAGCCTGACTTCTATGGACTCAGGATTACTGCTAATCTTGGACTCCCAGTTGAATTAGGATAAACTCTCTAAGAGTCTCATCTTTACCCAAACTGAAGTCTTCTCTCATTCTAGGACTCTTGTCCATATCTAGGTTGAGTTCCATTTTTATTCTAGGACTCTTGTCCCTTATCCACTTATCTCGGATTCCGATATCTTCGGACATAACCTCAGCCTTACCGAGATCACCTCGGCGTCACGACCAGGACACGTGGCACCTCGGCTGACACGTCGGCGTCACCTTGCTACGTGTTGGTACTCAGAAAATATATCCCCACAACTGCTCCCTAGGTTCTATTACCTCGACATTCTGAGGTGATGGAACCTACACTGTTTGTTCATCTGTGCCCCTCTATCCGAGATCAAACTTGCCGACCTCAAAGTTCCCTGGACTTTGTTGTTCACTTCTGTCAAGTATCAAGATTCATGCCTTCCAAGCTGCTTAAAATCACACCTCCTAGCCGAGGTTCTGGTTCCATTAATTTGTAAACTCCAAGAGCTTTGCAACTGCTCCACTCACACTCTCTGATGAGTTCTTGATTTTCAGTCATTTATTTGACTCCGGTGATTTTCATATCGGCGTTCATTTCTCTTGGTAGGTTCATAAACTCTTTACTTGCTATTAAGCTCAATCTTTCATAACTCTTCTAATTTACTTTGAATCTGTTTATTTGCCATCTGTTGCCTTCTATTCTCGTCTGTCTTCAAGTTTTGAATTGTTTGAATGCCTGGCACTGTTCTTTTCTGTTGCTAGCATTGTGTCTGGGTCATTACTTTTTTGTTCTTCACATACTTACTTAGCGCCTGTGCACTTGGCTTTATTCTTTGAACTTTGTCATTTTCTTGACTCTGTTTTTCTCTTTTTTCATTCAATCCTCTGGCTTTTTCTCTTTCTAGATTTTTTGCTTAAATCCGTCATTGTTCCAAGCTTTCAAGCTTCTACAACTGTCTTCGTTCCTCTCCTCTGGTGAAGCTTACGTCATTCTGTCATTGTCATCAGACTTCGGCAATTCTCATTCCGGCTTCCCTCTTTCTGGTAAGCCACTGTTCCTCCTGATTTTATTTCTTGTTGCTTTCCAAGAAACCCTGCTTCATTGTTTAATCACCATTGCTGTTTTACCTGTTGTTTCCAAATCATCTTCTTGAATACACACTGTTCACACATCTGTTGATTTCTGCCACTGTTCTTGGCTTGACACACCTGTGCAATCTTTTTGTCTTGATTTCCTGATAGCTTCATCACCATTCTTGATTACGAATTACATTCTTGTTTCTTATGATCAAATCTATGATAATAGAATCTTCAAGATACCACTATTACATTGCAGGATGCATAGAGTAATATGAGTTTCTGGTTTTTTTATTATGTCTAGTTGTAAATTTTGGAAATGAAATCAAGTCTGTGTAAGTGAAATCATGAAGTGCAAAGAGCATCACTTTGTTTAAGTGTACCATAAGCAATTCTTCCCTGTGAATAATTAGATTCAGCTTTTCTAGGCAGAAGTCAGGAAGCTGGTTGAGGATGATCACTTGCTAGAAGTAGTTCTTGTTTCTCTGGGTACTGCAAAGCATTTTATTGTAGACCTTGAGGTGATGGTGAGAGTATGAAGAAGTAAACACAACCAAAAGAACAATTGATGGTTGGGAAGATGTCTCTGGTTTTTTTTTTTAACAAGAAACAAAAGATATTATATAAAATAACAACTTAGTACATAGTTGAAGTTTAGATACAAATCTTAATCGAGAAGCTTTGGACACATCCAATAACAAAAAGGGGCAAAAAAATAGGTGCCGTATTTATTTTTATATCTAAGGAAGTGTATTGAACTGCATATTTAGCTAGTGCATCGGTTGTGAAATTTGCTTCTCGATATACAAAATGAAGCTGCAATGCCTCAAACCCTTGTGCTAGAGCTAGGCTGTCCAGAAGTAGAAGCTCCAGCTTGTGATGATGAACCTGCTTCCTGCGAAAAGCATCAAAACAAAAACCATAAGGGGATCAGTTTCAATAATGAGTCTAAAATTCCATGTGCTAAGTCATAGGATGATTTTTCACGGACAACCCACATTTCAGCCATGGCATTAGTGATGTAGCTAATTATTTTAGCAAATGCTAGTTTAAAATTGCTGGCCTTATCACAAAATATTCCACCAAAGCCCGCTAACCCAGGATTGCTCGTTGCGGCGCCATCAACATTTAATTTTACATACCCTTCAGGCGGTGCAACGCAAGTGATAAAAATAGAAATTTGATCCCTCATAGGCTAATCCTCTACTCAAGTGTTTGCACCCCTTGATGCTCTCCTATTCCCTTTTCACATCTTCTACTCAAGTGTTTGCACCTCTTGATGCTCAGACAATGTAGTTCAGTGAGATGTTGCATATCTTTTGGTAGAGATAGCAAATTAGGGCAATTATAAATTTCAAGTCCTTGAAGTGATGTGAGACATGGGAGGATGAACTCTGATACTATTGTCAAGTTCTCACAACTTCGAAGTTTGAACTGATTGAGTGTGTTAACTGCATCTTGAAGTCCCTTGGACAAACTCACCAACCACGGTAGATCAACCAATGTTAGTGATTTAAGTCTTCTCAGCCCCCGCAAATCATTATCCTCTGAGAATTTGAGAGCAAAAGAATAGCTAATCTTCAAATGCTCAAGGGTAGTGAGGTATCTCATGCCAAATGGCAATGAAGTTAGCATTGGACATAGTTTAATTTCCAACTTTCGGAGGCAAGTGAGTTTTCCTATCCCTTCACGTAAAGCAATTAGTTCCAAACTATCATATAGCTGTAATTCCTGGAGAGAAGTCAACCCACCAATCTGTTTCTCAGGCAAACATGTCAGCATTGATGATAAACCCAAAAAACGTAGGTTGGTTAGTTTCCCAAAATCTTCAGGCAATTCACATAGTGCTGAACTATAAAGATTTAAATATTGCAAGTTTAGCAAGCTATTGCCAAAGCCTTTAGGGAGTGTTTGCATACCATAACAGTACTTCATGGTAAGGTACCTCAAGTGCTTCAAATTTACTACGTTCTTGGATAAGAAATTAAAACGTTGGCCATGGTTGTCTTCAATGTCAGGCCAATTAATTACAAGAGTACCAATTAATAGTTAATAGTTTGACGTCTAATAATTACAAGAGTAGCCAATTAATTATACAATAGAGTGTTAGTCCAAGTGGTCATAATCGCCACTTGAGTTTTAGTATAGAGATGGAGTGACATTAGTTTATTGTAATAATTTAACTCTATTAACTTACTAAATGTTCTATCGTGTGACCCAAAAAAAGAAAAAAGGGAAAAAAAAAAAACAATTTCGACCGAGTGTTGAACAAAAAAATTCTAAATAAGAAAAAAAAATATAAACTACTTTTTTATCTCCCAATTTTAGCCTAGACATTGTCAATGGGGACAATAATTATTTGAAACTTTACCTATGAAATGTAAGATTAAAATGAAAGTGTAATACAACATACTACATTTGCATAAGAGATTTAGAGGCCATGTGGTTTGCACTTTAGATGATCCCAAAATGATTAATAGAAAAATAAATCATTTATTACTTTTGTTTCTTTTATTTAATTCATTTTTCTTGTGAGAAAAGTTCATGTATGAAAACTAAGTTGTGTTATGTGAATTAAAACTTTAAGAGAATCCAAAGTAATTATGTTAAAATTGTGGAATTTTCTATATTTTCTTAAAATAAGAGGGGAGGTCAATGCAATACCCAGAAAGAGTCTTTGTTTTTTTGTTTTGCGATATTTTTGTTTTTTTGTTTTTTTTTTCTCTCATTATTTTTTTGTTTTGCGATATTTTTGTTTTTTTGTTTTTTTTTTCTCTCATTAAATTGCTTTAAATTGTTTTTTTCCCTCTTCTTTCATTGGAAATGGACTCATTTATAACCAATTGTTGTCCACATTATTTCTTATTTTTCCTTATGTATTGCATAGAGTTCAAAAAAAACTGAGAAAAGAATTAGAAAGGAGTGCGAAGCTATAATTGCTGCGACAATGGATGAAAGAAGAAATGCATCATTCAGAATTTTAGATGAGTGTTCTACTTCTCCACATGTTGAATCACATGATATGGAAGGAGTTGTAGACTCCACTCAAGAACCAAAGAAGAAAACTAGGGGGGCATCAAAGTTAAAGATGCATGACAAAGGAAAACAAAAGTGTGATGAAATTGACTTCAATGAAAGGAATAAGCCTGTGGGACCTGAGTCAGTTAAACTATCGACTTTAGAAGGGATCTTGGCACGAGAGATGGTGCCAATAACCCTAGAGAGATGGCCTGATATTCCAGAAGAGGTTAAAGACAAGCTATGGGCTTGTGTGAAGGTAACATATATTTATTTAATTCATTATTATACTATCAACTCAAGTGTTTTTCCTAACCACTAAATTTTTGTTTAAATGCAAATGCAGCTTAGATTCAAAATACATGATTGCCATAGGAAACACATCATGCAAAAGTTTGGCAGATTATGGCGCTCACACAAATCTAAACTATCACAAAAAATAAGACCTCTTGGTAAAAGTGCTAAGCTAGCACACAATATTGTCCTCACCAAACCTGATAATGTAGAAATGGTTGAATGGAAAGCATTTGTGAAATAATGAACTTCCAAAGAATTTAAGGTAAGTTTCCTCATAGAAATTCTCTAGTTTTTATGAACTAATTAGACCAACAAATTTTCTCATAGAATTATGAATTATTAATCATATAAATTATGACATTCTTCTTTTGTATATGTAGGCAAAGAGTAAAAGATTTAGGGCAATGAGAAAAAAGTAAACCCTCTTTCACACCATGAGTCGTAAAGGTTATGCACGATTAGAGGATGAAATGGTAAATTTAAGAGTGATTCAAGTAATTTTGTAAATTGGGTATGAAGTATGGTTACTTTGAGATTGTTTTAATCATGTTGATTTTCATTTTCTATTTTATTTTCTAGGGAAGAGAAAGTCGAGCACCATCATCCATATCAAGAGTTGATGTTTGGATTAAAGGACATACGAGGAAGGAAGGAAAATCCATGAATGAAGTGCTTGATGCAACTGTGGTACCAATATTACTTCATTTTTTTTTTTTGGTATTATAATTTGCATTCACATCAATTTATATGATCTAGGATTGCTCACATCAAATTGTAAAAGCATAACATAATGTAAACCTTGTAAGAGCTAGATATGCATAATGATGAAGAAACCACACTCTTAAATAGGGAAAGCCATGTCCCAAATGTCCCCAACTTTTTGCACATTGTTTGCCAGTAATTCTACGTTTAAAAGAAATGAACTAATTTAAATTCTCACAAAGAAAGTAAATTAATCAATTTTTTAGTTGTCATCTTTACAGTGCAACACATGTACTTATCTAATTTGTTAATGAGCCAATCCTAAAGTGATCCAATTCATATTTTTTCAGACATTCAAATGTGTCTTAATTATGCCTCGGATGGTAATGTTTATGTAGTGGTTGAATAGCCTTTGTATGCCCTAAGATCGTTTTTTTGAGCCTTGTCATATTTTTAGGGCTATAATGTGGTCCAGCAGTAACAGTTTAGCTCTAAGTCAACACCTGATGATAGTAACAGTTTCAGACATTCAAATGTATCTTTTTTTAAGCCTTGTCATATTCATCAGGTTAAGTAGACTCATAAGTGTGACCACCTCAAAATATATATTTATCAAGTTGAAATTTTCTTTTCTGACATTGATGACATATGTAAGTGAGTTCTCGTTGAAGCTTTTTGACACTTTCATTTCCTTTGTTGAACTAATACTTCGTAAATGGGATGAATGTTATGCAGTATGCTTATATACTCTTAATTTTTGTAGGATCAAAATAATGGTGTGTCGAGCTTAGCAAATGTCAAATGCAAGTTGTTGCATTGGGAGGGGTCAAACTCGGTGGTTGCAGAAGGCCAAATTGCATCAAGGGATCCCAAGTCAAAGGTGCATCATGCAACTTTTGGACCTTTGTGTTGGAAAGTATGGGTGAACCACGTAACAGTCAACGTGCCGTTGTTTCGTTCTACTCGTGAGATGTATGATCTTCAAGATGCAATAGGAAGTACAGTTGCATGGCCTAGTCAATTCATTCTTTTGGACTAAATATTGGACTAATTGATTTACGATTTGTAGTTATACTTTTTGGATGTTTAAAGTCGTATTTTAGAGATTAGTGAATCTTATGATTTGGATATTTTTTTTTTATTTGTATGTTTGAGGTTGTTATCAGCTTGATATGATAGAAGTTGAGGATAAAAGTTACTATGCAGGTTGTTTGGTGTATGGATATTAGATTTTTTTGCTTACTTCATAGTTGCTGCTTCTGCTTAGTTTGTAACATGTTGCATTTTATAAGCTATTGTCTACATACGGTTAGACAAGGTTATGTTCCTATATATATATTATATTAAAAATAACTTTCTACGGCATGCAAAAGTATGCCGTGAAAAGTGTAATGATTTATGGCATGTAAGAAAATGTCGTAGAAGATTATATATGGCATACAAGGCATGTCATAAATATATTAAAAATGACCTTCTATGGCATACAAAATTATGTCGTGAAAAGTGATAATTTATGACATGCAAGAAAATGTCGTAAAATACTATATACGGCATACAAAGTATGCTATAAATATATTAAAAATAATCTTCTACGGCATGCAAAATTATGTCATGGAAAGTATGATGATTTATGGCATGATAAAAATGTCGTAAAAAGTTATATACGACATACAAAGTATGTCATTAATGTTTAATTTCTTATTTTTTACAACTTTATCTGCATGCCGTAAATGATGTTACACTTTTCACGGCATGTCATATAACGGCATTTGTGTGCATGCCGTGAAAGAGTTTTTACAGCATGCATCGCAAGCCATAAATATTTAATTTTGTTGTAGTGCGGTGAAGTGGAGCTATTGTATGAAACTTGCACTCTTTCATGGATTGGACACCATACTCTGTTGCTTGAAATCAGTTTTATGATGTTGTTGGGAAGAGCTTTTGATCATGAAATTGTTTGTATAGGTTAAAAATTGGGCTGAGTGATGTAATTAATTAATTAATTTCAGCGATTGTTAGCATTTACATGGTTGATACAACAATTAAATATGGGGTCACTTGTGTTCTTTTAACACATTCTGCCCTGATGCCTTACATGTTTAGTGGAATCTGATATGTATATATATATTTCTGTGTGGGTGATTTTCTGACCACACTGCCCACTTAGTAATCAACTGGAGAGCACCGGCAGAATAGATGGCACCTGGCTGACCTGCAACAGAAATATAAGAATCCCACGGTGGTTTCGACCACCCGGGGGCACTCCGACGATCAAGTTAGTATATCTCTCAAAGATAAATCAAGTACTAAACTCACAAGCTTGAGTATCAAAAGCATACCTTAGACCCATGGGGGTGCCTCTCTTTTATAGCCAACATAAACCTAGTCCCAATAGAAGCCTGACTTCTATGGACTCAGGATTACTGCTAATCTTGGACTCCCAGTTAAATTAGGATAAACTCTCTAAGAGTCTCATCTTTACCCAAACTGAAGTCTTCTCTCATTCTAGGACTTTTGTCCATATCTAGGTTGAGTTCCCTTTTCATTCTAGGACTCTTGTCCCTTATCCACTTATCTCGGATTCTGATATCTTCGGAGATAACCTCGGCCTTACCGAGATCACCTCGGCGTCACAACCAGGACACGTGGCACCTCGGCTGACACGTCGGCGTCACCTTGCCACGTGTTGGTATCAAAAAATATATCCCCACAACTGCCCTCTAGGTTCTATTACCTCGGCATTCTGAAGTGATGGAACCTACACTGTTCGTTCATCTGTGCCCCTCTATCTGAGATCAAACTTGCCGACCTCAAAGTTCCCTGGACTTTGCTGTTCACTTCTGTCAAGTATCAAGATTCATGCCTTCCAAGCTGCTTGAAAACGCACCTCCTAGCCGAGGTTCTAGTTCCATTAATTCGTAAACTCCAAGAGCTTTGCAACTGCTCTACTCATACTCTCTGATGAGTTCCTGATTTTCAGTCATCTATTTGACTCCGGCGATTTTCATATCGGCGTTCATTTCTCTTGGTAGGTTCATAAACTCTTTACTTGCTATTAAGCTCAATCTTTCATAACTCTTCTGATTTACTTTGAATCTGTTTATTTGCCATCTGTTGCCTTCTATTCTCGTCTGTCTTCAAGTTTTAAATTGTTTGAATGCCTGGCACTGTTCTTTTCTGTTGCTAGCATTGTGTCTAGGTCATTACTTTTTTGTTCTTCACATACTTACTTAGCGCCTGTGCACTTGGCTTTATTCTTTGAACTTTGTCATTTTCTTGACTCTGTTTTTCTCTTTTTTCATTCAATCCTCTGGCTTTTTCTCTTTCTAGATTTTTTGCTTAAATCCGTCATTGTTCCAAGCTTTCAAGCTTCTGCAACTGTCTTCGTTCCTCTACTCTGGTGAAGCTTACGTCATTCTGTCATTGTCATCAGACTTCGGCAATTCTCATTCTGGCTTCCCTCTTTCTGGTAAGCCACTGTTCCTCCTAGTTTTATTTCTTGTTGCTTAAGAAGCTCTGCTTCATTGTTAATCACAATTGCTGTTTTACCCGTTGTTTCCAAATCATCTTATTGAATACACACTGGTGTAAATTTTTTGTCTTGATTTCCTGATAGCGTCATTACCATTCTTGATTACGAATTACATTCTTGTTTCTATTTTTTGTATAGTCTTAGAACCACGTCCCTTCTTGAAATTGTTGCCGAGATAATGGTAAAGAAGCTCTCCCAGCTGACTGTCAATGTTGAACCATCGTCAACCGTTGAAGTAGATTAGTCCGACGTTCTTGCCTTAGTCCCTAGTTCTCAGGGTCTTCATCTTTGTACTTTTGTTTTCTTTGCATATGCAACCTTTTTTGCTTCTGAAAAATGTCTGTTTGTTGGCCAATATTAACATTCCTTGCTTCTTGATTATCATTCCTTCTTCCACTGTATTTGGTAGCCATGTCTGGTAATTGACTTCTCGAATGACCCTAGTCTCCAGAAGTCTGTCTACTTCTTCCTCTACTACTTCGACGTGCATCAACGTCAGTCCTCTTGCTCGTTGGACTTACAGGTTTGGCCGATCTGTCGACGTTCAATTGGTGACAAGTGACCTCGGGGTCAATGCCAGGCATTTCGTAAGGTGTCCAAGCAAATACCTCAATGTTTGTTCTAAAAAAAAGATTCCAATTCTCTTTCTTCTTCTTCGGCTAAGCTTGAGCCAAGAAGAAAGAAGCGTTCTTCATCCCCCTCCTGGATGAGGATTTTCCTCAGTGCCTCTTCACTTTTCTCGGCTGGCTCCTTGCCGACATCATCTAGGACCTCTATGCCCTTGTTTTCAATCTCTGCCTTCTCTGGTTCTCGAATGTTGCAGATGGATTTCATTGCTGCCATGGAGCAATTCTCCGCCTACAGTTGATCTCTTCTGACTTCTTCAATCCCATGTTCTGTTGGGAACCGCAGTAGTTGATGCAATGTTGAGGGAACTGCCCCCATTGTATATAGCCATGGCCTTCCTAAGATGATATTGTATGGTGAGGGCATGTCAATCACCATGAATTCTGTCTTGATCTTCTTCTAACTGCTCTTGCATGATTCTATACTTAGAATATTTTGCATGTCTTTCATACTTTGCCTCCTTTGTGCAATCTTCTCGGGGTTACATACCTCGGGTATAATAACTACAAAACTTTTACTTCGGCAAGATACTGACCTGTAAACTTTTCATAAATTCTAACAAGTGTGAAACATATATTACTCAATGTTAACTTTGCAAACTTTTTCTCAAGTTTCAACAAGTGTTTAAACGGTGATCTCGGTCTAGCCTACTTGTAAATTGCTACAAATTTCAACAAGGATTAACATATATTGTAACAGGGATCAACAAGGATTAACATAACAAGTTTTAAACAATAATCTATTTGGAAATTGCTACGAATTTCAACAAGTGTTTAAATATACTTAGCTCTTTCCTCAACTTGTAAATTGCTGTAAATTTCAACAGATGATCACATGTCGGCTTAACGTTATCTTGTAAATTGCTACAAATTTCAACAAGTGTTAAGCATCTTCTTTGGTTTAACCAACCTGTAGATTGCTACAAGCGTTTAAGCAATAACCTCGGTTTTGCTTCAACTCGTAAATTGCTACGAATTTAAACAAGCGAAGAGAAACAGTAATCTTGGCTTAACTTCAGAAGAGAAACAGTAATCTTGGCTTAACTTCAACTTGTAAATTGCTGCAAATTTCAACAAGTGAAGATAAGGAATAATCTCAGCTTAACTTGTAAATTGCTACAAATTTCAACAAGTGAAGATAAGGAATAATCTCAGCTTAACTTCAACTTGAGCCCTAAACTCTGATTTTCTGAACACACAGTCCAAATTCTCGTAAATTGCTACGAATTTAAACAAGCGAAGAGAAACAGTAATCTTGGCTTAACTTCAACTTGTAAATTGCTACAAATTTCAACAAGTGAAGATAAGGAACCATCTCAACTTAACTTCAACTTGTAAATTGTTACAAATTTCAACAAGTGAAGATAAGGAACCATCTCAGCTTTCAACTTGTAAATTGCTACAAATTTCAACAAGTGAAGATAAGGAACCATCTCGGCTTAACTTCAACTTGTAAATTGCTACAAATTTCAACAAGTGTTTAAGCAATACTTTTCGGTTTAACCAACTTGTAAATTGCTACAAATTTCAACAAGTGATAAACGCATTCTTCTTCTCTACGCCCCCAGTGTGAACTTAAAATTCACTTGGGTTCTCATCATACATGTAGCTTCGACCTTGTCGCTGAGGTTTAATTCGAGCCGAGGTTGTCGGCCTTGGTTTCTCTATTGATCTTACTTGGCTCCAACCTGAGTTTGATTTTCGGCCTCGCATCAACGAGCCGTTTCTTTTTTCTTGTTCTGACGCCTTTGTTCTCGACATGTCCTCCTCGGCCCTAGCATACTTCTCAATTCTGGCCAACTTTAGTCTGATCTTGTGTGTTTCCTTTTTATCTTCTGGGATCTGAGATCTGCTTATTGTGTTCTTCTCTTCTCGGACTCAGGTCCCGAGATCTTATCTTCTGGAATCTTGGATCTGCTCACTCAAGTTAAGCTCTTCTTTTCTCGGACCT